TGATTCTTCCTTTGAAGCCATCATACAATACTGAGTAAATAAGTTCTAAAGAGTCCAAGATACATATTTATATGTTAGCAAATACTTAAGAGGAAAGAGCACAGTACAGATTCATCTGAATAGTTACAAAGCTCTAACTTCTTATTTACACAACACCTAACAGCTTTTTATTATTAAACCAAGTGCTATCAGCAGACTCAGCACTGTGCTAACGCAAGAAGGAATGCCCCTGTCCCAAGGAAATTGAAATGGAAAGCAAATACAGATAATACAGATTAGACAAAGGATAGATCAGAGGAAGGTTCAGGGTGAAAACCTGGTCTCACTGAAGCCAATGATAAAAGTCCCATTGACTTCAATAGGGCCAGGATTTCACTCAATCTTTACACCAATGGTGCAGATCTCTATTTTGTTATCAAGCCACACAGGAATAGGACAAGTTTAAGAGAGGGATTTCTCTTCTCCCCACCCCAATTTTCTTTATTACAGAAGGGTGTGTATTTTTTTAAAATAGCTGAGATAGAGGTGGTCCCCCATCACACTTTTGTATCCAAAGCCACGAAGATTAGTATAGTGACATGAGATAATCCAGACATTCTACTTCTATCAATCTTAAATCTAAAGTTCCATGGTTTTGTGGAATTTAAAGTCATACTTTTCAAGTTTTCTGCACAAATTTTAAGCCACACAGCAGCTGATGATTGCTCTTGACACAGAATAATAAGATGGGCCTGATCCTGGCAGTTACAGGAACACTGAATCAGCCTGCAAGAGTCCAGATTCTGAAGTTAATATACAAAGAAAATACCTCAAAGCCAGGCCACCAGAGCAGGGCAAGGATCTAGCCATCTGTTATAATTAAGTCACCATAATCCGTGGTGCACAGTGACAGACTGGAAGGAATGGGGCCATAGAAAAGGCATCAGGGCTACTAATTATCAATAAAGTATCTTCAGAGGAGAACATAACCCAAATGCCAAAATGGAGGGGAGTTTGCATCATTTCTTCCCTCCTATCCCTGGTCACATCCAAAAGTGCAACAGATGGGTAAAGTGCATGCTGTAGTTTGACACAACTGACTTAGTTTGCCTGATAATTACAAATCCTTTTACCTATGCAATTGTGACAAAAAGGCTTAAGATTCAGTCAAAAGAGCATCAATCTGCACTAACTGAATAGCACATAAACTGCAGAGATAATTAATGAAAGTGAGTACAGATGCACATACTCTTATTAATGCCAGCTTCCTGAGAAAATAGCAAGTCCAGCAAGTCATTGTCTACAAAAGAAATATTTTGTATTTACTAACAGGCAAGTAGTAAAATAAAAGTCATTTAGACTAAGATTTACCTATTAAGAATAGCTGCCTGATGTAACTTTTTTCCTGAAATAGAAGAATGACTGTCTTTTTACTCTTAAAAAACAGTTTTCCATTCATAAAATTAACAAAAAACATGTCGTCATTAGTGCATCTTCAAATTCTTATTGCAACAAGGGACCCCTTGAAATGAAAACTTAACCTGCTTTCACGGAAAGAAACTTCTCATACTTGAGTATAGCGCCCTCATTGACAGGCAGGCAAATCAGAGAACAACATGATTTACAAATGAACACATTTTCAATTCTTAAGAGACGTTTTCCTTTAATGTGCACTTTGTGCATAAATCTCCTCCTTAGTTGTCAGTGCAAGGTATCAGCAGTTTTAGTATTTGCCATATATGGACAGACAGTAAGATCATCAGCATGTATTTTGAAGGTTCCCCTACAGTATTTCTTTTAAAATCCAATTACTTAAAATACCCTCCAGATGATACAAAACTAACAAGTCAGGATGTTTACTGCATCACCCCTTGAAAAAAAACAAATAAAAAGCAACACGCGCCTATGCTCTCCTTGCACTACATTTTCAACTTATAATACCAACAACACATCAGGCAGTCATCTCTACCAACTCTTTTAGAGAATGGAAATTCACACATAATGAAAGTGGTGGAGATGGGGGGGGGGGCGATTGTTTTCCTTTGAAGTGAAACAAAATCTGTTACTGTTTCATGTTTTCAGTCTGGAAAAAAAAATAGAAGGAACAACAAACAAGGCACCACTTGAATCTCAGGGTTGTACTGCCATTCACAAACAGCTAGAGCCATATCCTTACAATTTAATGTCAGCAAAAACCTGGAAATGAAACGGAGCCTTTTCATTTCTGTGATTCCACAACAAAACCACAAAAGTCACTTTGAAAGACACTGCACTTACTTCTGCACTGAAATACATGTAAGATATTGAAAGAGACAGAGCACTGCAAATTAACAAGTCCCTTAACCTGCAATGTAAAATATATACAAACACAAAATTCCATTTAAGATTCTGCATCTGAATAGGAACTAAAGGTAATTACAACTAAGCTATTTCTAGTATGGAGACTCTTACCTCTTTTATATGCAGATAACTTCTGGTTTCCAAACAAAATAAGAACTGGATATATTTGCATGAGATAGCATGAGATAGCATGTTAGCAAGTAGCAAATTCTGCTCCCACACAAAATGCTTGGCTCTTTAACATTTTGCTAAATTCATCAAACCAACTTTAACTATGGGAAAAATAGGACTTAATTGTTCCAGTTATGCCTAAGTAGTAAGCATGTTGTAAGTGTGAAGTAGTTTTTAGATACAAAGAAAACTGTACATGTCAGTCTCTTATTTCTAAGAGTCTGTACTCTATGGAATATGTCTTAACACAAATCCAGTGAAGCTACTACCATTGTGCCTTAGGGTCACAGCAAATACCTAGGCACATGAGTAACTCTACTCACAGGAGACGTCCCCTCCAAGTTAATGGAACTATGTCTATGAATAAAGTTACTCAATTCATAAGTGTCTGCAATATCAGGCTTAAGGACACAATCCTCTGGAGATGTTGAGCTCCCTGACTTCAGTGGAAGCTGAACGTGCTTGTCACTTTTCAGGGGTGCTAAGTACCTTCCTTGCAGCATCAAGCCTGATATGTTCCATATTTTTTTAAACAGAAAGTTGCCATGAAGCTCTACGGACATTATAAAATACTATAAAAAAAATTTGAATACAGGTGCTAAAAGAATGCCCTCCTAACAAAGGAAACATAGAATAATGCTTAATGTTGCAGCAGAAAACAAGATTATGAGAACAAAAGGATGATTTAACATTCATTTCCATGTCTGTTCTTTACTGAGAGAGGAACACTTGAGGACTAGAATTGTTAGCAGGAAGTTCAAGAAAGAAAGGAGAGAGAAGATTGGACAAGAAACATTTCTCAGCTTTCAAAGTAACAGCTGTGTTAGTCTGTATCTGCAAAAAGAACAGGAGTACTTGTGGCATTTTAGAGACTAACAAATTTATTTCAGCATAAGCTTTCATGGGCTACAGCTCACTTCTTCAGATGCATAGAGTGGAACACACAGACAGAAGATATTTATACATACAGAGAACATGAAAAGGTGGAAGTACCCATGCCAATCGTAAGAGGCCAATCAATTGAGATGAGCTATCAGTAGCAGCAGAAGAAAAAACTTTGAAGTGATAATCGAGATGACCCATAGAAGGTGTGAGGAGAACTTAACATGGGGGGAAAAAAATTCAATTAGTGTAATGACCCAACCATTCCCAGTCTCTGTTTAGACCTAAGTTAATTGTGTCTAATTTGCATATTAATTCGAGTTCAGCAGTCTCTCTTTGGAGTCTGTTTTTGAAGTTTTTTTTGTTGCAAAACTGACACCTTCAGCTTGTTTATGGGAGTGGAATATTCCCATTCAGCAAAATGCCAGATGAGATTTGAAGACTGTTTAAGGAAATATGATCTCCTTGAAATGGTTCTTGCTGACAGTTTAATTAGTAAGCTTTACTGATTTATCAAAAGTTTCCAAATAATATCTGTTTAAAAACTGTCAGGTATCAACTGGTAAACACCAGATAGATGTGTTTGAAGGGGGGGGGGATTCAATGTCACTTTTTACACAGATGTTAAACTGAGGGAAAAGATTATTTTTTTTATCCAATGTAAAAAGTCAGACTTAGCAGTATGCATTTCCCATTTTAGGTCCAATCCAGCACTCTTTGCCAGCGCAAGACAGCCACTTACAGTTAAAACTTACCACAGAAAGAGTGATTGCATTTGCAGTTCTCAGAGTGGCAAGCCTGTGGTTTCTTCATGCAAGTAAAATACTGCATTCATCAGAGACAGGACAAATTGAATGCTAATGGCAGAATTACTTTAACCACTGTGGAAAGCGATATAAAATAACTGTACACACGCAACAGACAAGAGCCTCGGTTCCTACAAACCGATCCATGCCGAGGGACCCTTTCGCTCTTTGAGAGCCCCACTGGCTTCCATGGCCGAGTCTGCACGGCTATTGGGGTCCAGCTGTGCACAGCAAGGTGCAGGATCTGGGCGACAACTATATACATGTCTGCTGTGTGTGCATGTGTATACACACAGACATAGCCCGTTGCACTCGAAGTCTTGCACACACACGCTTGTGCAATCCAGGCATTTGCTCTTGGACACACGCGTGTCTGCACTTCTTGTCGAGCCTGTAAATGCCCAGTATGCAGCGCATGCCGTGAAACTCCTGGAAAACGCACGTGTTGAGTGCTTTCCTCCTGTTGTCGGATCTTTGCCTCGCCGGGACGCGGAGGTGGCCCGTGTTGGGTCGTTCCTTGCTTTGGGGAGCCGGCTGCAGGGAGGGGATCCATGGAAACAACCCGCCGCCCCCGTGTGTAAAACGCAGGGGCAGGGGCACGCCGCTCTCACACACACACACACACACACCTCAAGTCCCTGCCCGATAATGCCCAGCAGCGCGGGCGGGCGGGCGAGCGCTCACCTCAGGCACCGACCCGCTCACCTCAGGCACCTCGCCCCGGGACCCAGGAAACCCCCGAGCCAAGGGGAGGAAGCGCCGCCCCGCCCCGCCCGCAGCCCGGCTCCGCACGGAGCCCACCTGCCCCAGCCCCGCGCTCACCTCCGGGGCTCGGTCCTCCGGCGCTCCTCCAGCGTGGCGGTTGGGCTGGCCGGGGCGCGGGGCGCGCTCGCGGCGGGGGACTCGGCGCGCGGCGCGGGGGGCGGCTGCCC